ACGCGAAACTTGCAGGGAACGCGAAATGAAGTGTCGTAGGAAAATTCGTGAGATCGGGTCATGGCGTACGTGCACTTGGCCCGCACAAACTACGAAAATGTGCAGAACGCAAAAATCGTACACACTTTCGCAAGGACTGTCGCGAAACTTCGTTCGAATTTTCGTTTTGCAGAACCTCTCTACTGAACCTTTCTTTAGAAACATGACGGCAACTGAAACAGCAACAGAGAAAGTACGATACATGTACAGCACATTCTTGCAGGTACATGTACTTCAAACAGTTTGCAGATCGTAATTCTTGCTTTGGCGGCACGAAACTTTATTTGGGGCAGTGCAATCTCGGCGGTACTCACAAATAATAAATCAAACAGCCCAGACTCCAGTAAACAAATCCAATCATACAACTTACAAGTACAAGATCTTCACGATACGAGACTGCACCCATTGGCTTGTTTCGTAGGAAGCAAACAAGTTACTGATCCTCTCCACAATGGAGATTTTCCCTGATATGCGAATATATTTTGCAAACTCGGTCAATGGGTCCTTGAACCTTTCCCTCCAGATTGGGAACTGCCAACGATAGTATGTCACTGACCAGTGCCTTACTTGTAACGTACCAATGTACAACGAATACGAGTATTTCGACAACACATCTAACATAAGCCTTACCGTCAAGAAGGTGAACTCGCGCTCTTCGCACACTGTAGCCAAGGGCAAAGAGATAAAAATGGATCTAAATCCGAATAAAATCAGCACACGTTTCCGTAAATGAAAGGGTGAGTATAAGCAAATGAATCGAAGGAAACAAAGAGATCCTGTCAGCTTTTCCATTATTAATTTTATTGCATTCCGCCCAAATTCAGCACACTTTTCGTAAATGAAAGAGTCAACACAAGCAAATAATCCAAGGGAACTGGTCAACTCACCTGTCATTGAGTAATATTCCCCGAAAGGAGGTCTCAGCAGCGCCGAAACGAAATAAGCCAGGCCAGGAGACGAAATATCCGAAACAGCTCATACAAGAAGCAGTTCCAGAAGGAAGTTCCTCGCGCATGCACATCCGAACGTTCGAACACGGACTGCAGTACTGCACTGCAACACAATGTCTGCCGTGCACGTGCACCGCACGCGGCTACCACCCGTTGGTAGATCTAATACCGAGCACCTTACGTAGAGACTTACGTAGCCTAAGTGAATTACCGAGCACCTTACGTAGAAACTTACGTAGCATAGCGGTGTCGTTTTTCTTGCCATGTGAACACAATAATAGAAAAGCTGACAGGATCGCTTTTCTAAATATACGCATTGATGTGCAAGCCTTTTCTTGCAGAAAATGGAACTAGTCTTGCATACATGTATTCATGTTCTTCTGCAGGGGAATCATATGGGTAGTGGCGGTGATACTTTTTTTATACGCAGGTCATTCTGTGGATGTTGCAGAATTTCATGACTCTGTCATAAAATTGTCTTGTCTTTCAGAAAATCCAGGTGTCCACACCCTAAATCACATTTACTTGAGAATTGTAACAAGGTGCGTGCCGCAGATGTTTTTGTTGATTCTGTGTTTATAATTGTAATCATGGGTTGTCGTGATAAGGTCATCCGGCATCATATTGTAGTGAAATCGTAATCCTGTTGATGTCTATAAAACCTTTGGAAGCAGTTCAATGACTTCAAAGTGTTACAAGTCCACGATTGTCTAAAACAACACAGCAAAGTAGGAACAATAAACATGTATTAAAATGTAAACAAATACATTGCTGAGTCCAACACGTCGTTCCAACAACTACACTGATCCTGAGGATATAGGGGGCAAGGATATATGGTTGGAGGTACTGAGAGATAAACAAGGCACTCCATAATAAGAACATGTTACACGACTTTGGGGGAGTATGAATGATATTCAGTCAAACCTCTTTAGGACGAACATCAAGGGACCGATGGCATTTGCTCTGTGAGTTTGTCTTAACCCTATTTTATAACGAGTGAATACAATAATTATTTCTCCAATAGAGACACGAATAGATTTCTTCTACAGCGAAAGATTCGAAGCCAGACCAAACCATTGACTCGTCTTTTATGAAAGAAATGAGTCACTGAACCTTTCTTTAGCAACATGACGGCAACTGAAACAACAACAGAGAAAATACGATACATGTACCGTAAAGTACCGCCAGAGCGCCCCGTCTCGCGAGAGCGCCCCACCTTGATTTTACAGCCAGAGAAAGGAAAATCGTATGGCAGAGTGCAACGAAGTGTGTACGATGTGAGAATCTTAGTGTACTAAGGTCACACTTGGCAGGTTTTTGTGTGGAGCTTGTGTCCTCTTGATCTTGAAGGTACAGATTGACTGCAAAACGTGCAATATGTGTACAAGGTTCATGTCGTATGACCTACAGACAGCAGACCACCTCCACAATACGACCACGAAAGGATGAGATGGTGGGGCGCTCTGGCGGTACTTTACGGTACAGCACATTCTTGCAGGTACTACAAACAGATTGCAGATCGTAATTCATGCTCTACCGGCACGCAACTTTATTTGGGGCAGTGCAATCTCGGCGCTACTCACAAATCAAACAGCCCAGGCTCGAGTAAACAAATCCGATCGTACGAGATTTTCACGAGACGAGACTGCACCCATTGGCTTGTTTCGTATGAAGCAAACAAGTCACTGAATGCATGAACCTCTCCATAATGGAGATTTTCCCTGATATGCGAATTTAGTTTGCATACTAGTACTCGGCCAATGCGTCCTTGAACTTTTCCCTCCAGATTGGGAACTGCCAACGATGCTATGCCACTGATTCAGATTCTACCCTATGATCGGAGCACGGAATGCCGGAAGTAATCATGACCAGTGCCTTACTTGTAACGTACCAATGTACAATGAACATGAGTATTTCGACAACACATCTAAGCCTCAGCAGCAACATAAGCCTTACCGTCAAGAAGGTGAACTCGCGTTCTTCGCACACTGTTGGCAAGGGCAAAGAGATACGAATGGATCTAAATCCGAATAACATCAGCACACGTTTCCGTAAATGAAAGGGTGAGCATAAGCAAATGAATCGAAGGAAGCTGGTCAATTCAGAGATCACCTGTCATTGAGTATCCCGTAAAAGGAGGCCTCGACAGCAGAAAAGTTAATAATATAGAAAAGAGATCCTGTCAGCTTTTCCATTTATTAATTTTATTGTATTCCACCTAAAATCAGCACACTTTTCGTAAATGAAAGAGTCAACACAAGCAAAAGAATCAAAGGGAACTGGTCAACTCACCTGTCATTGAGTAATATTCCGTGAAAAGAGGTCTCAGCAGAGCCGAAGCGAAATAAGCCAGGACACGAAATATCCGAAACAGCTCATGCAAGAAGCAGTTCCAAAGAAGGAAGTTCCTCGCGCATGCACATCCGAAAACGGACTGCACTGCATGCAACACAATGTCTGCCGTGCACGTGCACAGCATGCGGCTACCACGCGTTGGTAGATCTAATACCGAGCACCTTACGTAGAAACTTACGTAGCCTAAGTGAAGTATCGAGCACCTTACGTAGAAACTTACGTAGCATAGCGGTGTCGTTTTTTCTGCCATGTGAACACAATGGGGCTGTTAAGTGTGACGTCACGGCCCCTTCGATACGCATAGCAACGGAGAGCACTGGGGACAAACAAAAGTCGCGTCCTCTGGATGGAACCAGTTGTCAAAGGCAACAGCATCTAAATGACTGGAGAGAGAGCAGTTTTTGTTTGCTTTTTCTTCAAGCGATTGTTGTCGCTCTTTACTCCTTGTCCTTTCCTCTACAAATCTCCTGTAGTCGTCGAGGGCCTTCATGATGGTTGTGAAATTGGCTGCCCACTGTAAAACTCCGTGTTTGAGAGTGCTTTGAAGATTCTTCGCGTCTTGATGGATCAAAGTACGAGCGCTCCCTGTGGATTCGATTATAATTATGTAGGTGAGTTGTTCAAGAAATCAGTGTCTTCTTTCTGTCTCTGCCCTCACGCTGGCACAATAATATCAGCTTCTATATCCATGACAGCTCGCACCTCCCGTAAACTGCATGACTTAGATATATTCTCGCCCTCCGTGGTGATTGAAGACCCATGGAAGAAGTTATGTTCAGAATGATGTCCTGAGAATATAAAATAAAATAATTCTAGGGAATTGTTACAGGGTATTTTGGAAGGATGGAGAGAGAGCACTGAAGCGTTTGTCTCACTGTAATAATTACTCCAGATTATTGAATGGTGTATGATCTACTCGATATTTTCCACAATGGTTTTTCCTGATTTGCGGGATCTCTTCTTTTGCTGTTTGCGTGTTTACAGGAAGTGACTGTCTGGTGTGCACCAGATCCTGGGGACATTAAGTCAGATGCAGAGGCAGAGTCGTCAAGTGATGCAACACTGCCGTTCTATGTGCAACGTCACCGCTAATTCCCCCGGCGAAAACACAAAAAGACAAACACGTCAAGAGAATACAGCATTGACCGTTCTGGTAATGAATCGTGACTGCTCGGACAGTCGATATTCGAAACACAGAGCACCAGCATGATGTTTTGATATTGGGAACAGCTCAATTCTCAAGCCCAAAAATTGATGAATACAAAACGCAAGCGATGCAACAAGAGATCATCCGGCAACCAAACTAACCTGGGTCTAATGCACAGAACAGTCCTGAAATACACAGGCCACACAAAGCAGTGCAAGCACATACTGTTACAAGGTACATGTATTGCAGAACAAAGTGTAACCAAAGGTACACGGGGTTATAGCTGCACACTCGTGCATGTGCTCGCTCAGCCCAAGAACATGCATGATGATAGAAATAATCCGGGGGAAACACGCTAGCACCGAAGTAAGCATCAAGACGTAAATAGTCATCATCACAAGCCCATGGCCGTCGGGGCGTCACAGAGCAAGTATGAACAAGCGATCGCCATAAAAATCGATCGTGTGCAGCAGCGAGCAGGGACTGCACGTCAAGTGCAGTCCATTATCAAGCCAAGACATTCTGGGCCTGCCTCGGCCACGACCTCCAGCAACACAACCCTGAAGAACAGTCAATGACAAACAGCCGGAACGAACAATATGACCAAAAAATTGCAATTTCCTTTTACGGACAGAAACAATAAGTGGGACTTGTTTGTGAATGTGAATACTATTTATTTCCTCTCTAACAGACACATTCGTCGTAAATAGTGCAGCTCTGAAAAAGTAAAAATTACATTGACATGTACATTGGTGTGCCGAGTAGTATCATCCTTGATTACCCATCCAACCAAGACGTTATCAGGTCCCAGACGCCAAGATCGCACGCCGAATGTGAAGTGCATCTAGCCTTGAACCTGTTGCACAAGCCATCACATATGACAAAAATGACATCCACTCCAGTTATTTCCAGAGGCCAATCATAACAGAACACAGAAATGAAACCACGGGCTCAACAAAGTACATGTAAACGCAAAGGAAATTAGTTACAAATTAATGATCCATGAAGTGCTATTTTAATTCCAGCGCTGATTGCAGTGTGGCGCCGTGGCCCGATACCCGTTGAGCATAGACACAAACTCCATTTGACAGGGGCAAGACATACTATTTTGGAATAAAGTGATAAAGTACAACATTCCAATGACATGACGGACACCTCGTCCAAATGCGTGGTCTGTTCATCCGGCCAACTCAGCCACGCATGAGAGTGTGTGCATGTACGCGCGCACACAAGCGCGCGCGTGCACACACACACAATGTATTCGGCGCGTATGGCGTACCTGTTGCGGAGATATGAAGATGGAATCATTATCATGATGTTACATGTACATGTACAGTGTATGTTTGAGTGTAAATTGTAAATTTTATTTATTACACATTTCTTCGACACAACTTACTCCACATCTTCGCATTTCTCATAATCCATCCACCTACACTCCGTCTCAGTTGAGGAAAACTCTCCCAGGTACAGGTATACACTAGTCACCACAGCCATGTGATGACATTGGGATGGGTCCCAAGCACGATTGCACTCTCCAGTCACAATATAATTTATTTGCCCAGATTATCTGTGAAGACAAAATGCAATGCATAGCGGCAATCGATGGATGAAGAGAGAGTTTGTAAATACACATATCTTTCCACTTGTTCAGGAGCTTACCTTTTGGAGTTCACATCGTTTACACGATCGCTTATGCTGTCTTGCACCGTGGCTTTGTTGACCATGGATACGCCATCCCAGAAGACATTCTACAGGAGCTACTAATGCAGAGCGTTTTTCACGCTCGATCTCGGCGATCTACCTCGTCACGCCAATAAAATCCTCCGTGACACTGGCTACAGTCACAAGAGACGTCTCAGTAAGGTAATGAGCACGACAACACCGTCGAGATCAAGGACAAAGAGAAAACAAAACACTCACTGAAAACAGCAAAGAAGAAACGAAGAAATGTACTCGATTCCAATATGTTGCCACTGACAACTGGTTCGGTGGAGACGACGCTACTTTTGTTTGTCCCCAGTGGGATCGTTGCTATGCGTATCGAAGGAACTGTGACGTCATCACTTAACAGCCCCTATGGAAAAAGCTGACAGGATCGCTTTTCTAAACAAAGTAACGTTACCGGTACGTACGTTTCCACCTCTCACCGCGGCGCTGAGAAGGGATTTTCCCTTTTTCACAGCGCGCATGCAGCCTGAGCACTTTTTTACTGCCGGGAAAACTTTACTGCCGCAGCAGCCGCGGCAGTAAAACTAATAATTATTACTTTTCCGCCGGTAACGTGCCAGTAACGTCACGTGATCAAATCACCTTGGCAACTTTTCCATTCCGTCACTTTTTATCGGTAGTCTGAACGCGCCCTAGGCCCTCCTGGTCGTTGCAATCTGATACATAATAGCAAGAGTACATAACTACACAGTGTGTAGTCTGTGTAGTTATGTACTCTTGATAAATATACCTCCAGGCCGACAGTTTTTTGACCAAGCCGTGAATCGCCCTCGCTCTGACTCGCCCGGCTACGAAGGAGTAATTTTACAACTCTTCAGGCCAGCTACAGGTCTCTGATGCAGAGCTGCAAGTGACGGATATCGGCAAGAGTACATAACGGGGGGTTATATTATGTACTCTTGATATCGGTCATTTGCAGCAGGGAGTAGTACAATACGGTATATATAATATTGTACTACTCCCTGATTTGCAGCCACTACTTAGGCTGCGTTTACACGACAACGCACGGCCAGTTTTCCGTTTTCAGTCCCGCATTTCTTCTTTCGTTTTCGTACGTTTACACGATCAAAGCCGATCCGAAGTGGTCTCCGTTTGTATCGTTTTCAAGCGTCTATACGAGAGCAAAGAATCCGCCAAAGTTTGTCAAGTGCCAAGTGTTGCCGTGGAAGCACCAATCACACTCAAGTAATGTTTGAAAACAGGCACACGAGTCACGACAACACACGTCACATGACGAAAATTGTAAAAACATTTTTTTGGATTGTCGGATCCGTGTAAACGGCCGAAAACGTTAACGAAACAAACGTGACGGAAAACAAGGCCAGCACACCGTTTCGACTGTTTACACACCCAAATTTATCCGGCACAACATTTCCGTTTTCAAATTCTTCCACCTAGTCCTTGGCCAGCGTTTTGGTTTTCTTCCGTTTTGGTGTACAACTTTTACGTTTTGCTCCCCGTACCGTGTAAATGAACCGTGGATCCGAAAGGATTTCGTTGCGTTTTCGCCCCCAGCGTTGTCGTGTAAACGCAGCCTTAGAGCCTCCTGGTAGGCACCGGCGGATAATGCTAGCAGAATAAATAGCATAATGACCCATGTGGGAAGCCCTAGCATAAAGTCTCCAAATGTGACCTTGTCTAGCACAATCGATGTGTGAAAGTAGCACTACGTCCAATCTGTTGGCACCACAGTGCACAGTGAAAAGTAGCACTATTTTTAGAGCGCAGAGAGACACACTGGTGCTCCCTGGGACGCTGGCAGCCCTCTGGGCTCTGTACCAATGTAATGAAAAAGTAAGCTTTCTTTCACTGTGTTCGCCCTGCGATACTGCCATACTCCGAGTGACTGCACAGGGAAGTCATTATTTCCCACCGCAAGTATAGCCATTTTGTAGCACTATCAGCACTGCTAGCATCATAACTAGCTCAATCGCTCCAAATAACTAGCAGTGCTAGTAGCACAATTTCCACATTTAACTAGCATTATCCGCCGGTGCCTACTCCTGGTCGTCGCAATCTGATACATAATATACCTCTGCTAGTGGGATAGCGCCAGGCATGTCGATGGCACAAACAAATAAAAGTATTGTTCCCAGCTGTCTTTGCTGGTACGGTATTATTATTATTATTATTTATTATTTATTATCTTGTTAGGGATTTCCCAACAGGCAATGTTGCCTTTTTACTGGGAACCCTAAATGAGACTTTGTGTGAGGGCGAAACAAAGCAGGCGACTCGGCCAGGCGACAAGACGGTACGGGACAGACACGGGATAGCGCCAGGCGTGACACAAACACACAAACAAACAAACAAACACCAAATTAAAGCTGTGTGGACCCTGGCTAGCGCCAGACGTTACTGCATAGCTACGGGAATAAAAGCCGAGTAAAAGACCGAGACGAAGCCGAGATCTTTTACGAGGTTTTTATTTCCTATGCTGACCAAGTACGAAGTCATTAGATTTATTACGACAAACAGTCCGTATTTCAAATTCCAGAACGATAACCTCATGAATCCCGGTTTTATGATTGCACAACCGTTGCACCACCACCTTCTCATGCAGTGACAAAGCTGCACTAGGCACCGTTCAACTGCGCAACCCCGAAGCAGTCAAATATTTTATTATTTATTATTATTATTATTAACTGAAGTTGATTGTTCATGACTATTACCGCCGAAGTCGCAACTTCTAAGTTTGTTATTATTAACTGGTTATTATTATTATATATTTGAGGATTTCCCAAAGACGTAGTCTAAATTGAAGGGAGTTCCATTATAATGGGAGGCTGTAGGGTTGAGATCGCAGACAGTGGAGGGCTAATGATTCGTAATGAACAGCCTAGCTAGCGAAATACAATTATGCTGAAATGTGCAGTCAATATAGCCCTAAGGAGTGAAATATGCAGGAATTGACTGCTTAGGTATAGCGAAAATCAATGTGAGTCAATACTAAGAGAGTCACGGATGATTGTCAGGAACAAGCGTGGCCATGGAGCCAGGCTTTGCGCATTGTCTCTGTATTGTAGCAGCATAGTTGTAGTAGGATTTCTGCATGAGTTCTTCCTTTCCTTGTGGGGTTTCCCAGTGTCTGACCAGCGTACACCATTTCCCTAGATCATCCTCATGCTTTGAGCACACGTTCAGTCGAAATGTCTCCGTCAGTTTCTCACTGTTCATTGGCTGACCACGGTACGTGTGGTGCAGCAAGTACGATGACTCAGACTTAGTAGCTTTCTTGATGTAACTGACTGCATCCAGCAAGCTGGGAAAGGCAGCAAGGTTAATGTACGATTCTCTGTTGGGAGCCACTCGGTCATAGTCGGGTAGACCGGATTGGGAGATGACGAGTGGAACAGTTCCTTGAATTAGTGCGCGTTGAAACTTCTCTGTGATATAATCCAGACATATGGCGTTCTCCGCAGCAAAGTTGAACAGATACTACTGCAGATACTGCGGCAGATCTCTCTCATTTGCTTTGAAATTATGTAGACACGACCCCATGCTATGCAGCTCTATAATGGCCATGAGATATTTCAACACTGCCTGGCGCTTTCCGTACGATGCACAATTGCTGACAAGAGCCGACACAGGTACGGACTTTCGCTGTGCAAACCTCACCGCCAGGGGCTTCAGGAATCGTTGACAGAAGCACTCGCCAGGCTGCATGAACGAATGTGGGATATCAGTATGACTGGAAAACGTCCTCAGCAAGTTGATGTCTGCCATCCTCTCTGGGTGGCTTACCGTATAGGGTGCTTCATTGCTAGTTGCCATGAAAAGCTGATATTTCTTGGCCCTGGTCGGCATCGTTGGAAGGTATTTGGCGGGGAATTCCACAGCGTCAGCCATGGCAAATAGTGACCTGTTGCTCGTGTAAACCATGTCCACTCCATCACAGCATCCGAAATGCGACAACCCATCCGATGGTCGGTTACGCAGCATGGGGTCAGGTTCGTTTTGATAGAACAGGATCAGGAACCGCTTCCTGGGTTTGCCGCAGATTTTGACAATCCCTGGATGGCGACACTTGAGAGGCTCAGACACCGAAACTGGCCATAGCCAATCGGCCCCATCGGAGCCCCAAACACTGTAGGAAGATGCGTTCTGGACAGCATACTGATTCCCATGGACTGGTAAGAAAGGCATGAGCTTCTTCGCCCCAGAAAATGACAAAGGGTAACCGTGTTTCACATCGAGCAGCAAGTATGCAGCGAGGAACATTATCGTTGATGCTACCAGGACGCAAACCGCCAGGTATATTTTTCCTGTGCAGGAACTTTCCCAGTTAACCATGCTGGGAGATAGACAGAAAAGGTCCAGAACAAGAAACCAGTAACGGCTAGGTAGATTGAAAAATTTGCTTCAGTAGCAGAGCTAAATTCCTTCTCAAGTTCTCAGTCAAAAACAACGCAGCAAATCGCCTCTATACCACTACAATTTGTACTGGAAATAAGCCTTATGCGCTATATACATGTATGCACATTGCACAGACACCGGTACAGGAAATGGAAAAAAAGCCGCTTGCACACTGTGGTTGAATACGCCTCGGCCCTCTGGCAATTTCAATGTTCACAACTGGCGCTTGTACGCGTGAAACCACGCGCCTTTTTGCTGGCTTTTGGGGCGCCATGCGCGTCGAAATGGAAATTCGAACATGTTGTAATAGATGACTTGCACAAAGATCCGAGCCGCGAGTGAGACGGGGCAAGTGCACCCACCCAGGCTACACTGCGGGCACCCTACACCAGTGTCCACCGTCTGTAGATTCTGTAGATTTTTGTCAGCATGAATGAACGGTGCACGGCATGTACATGTACATGATCAGTACCGTCACTGTCTTCAGTAGCTCATGAGTCATGCATGTGCACTTGTTGTAGGGTTAGTGGAAGCAGGTATTGTACTACTCCCTGAGTGGAAGTACATGACTGTATTATTATGTGAAGAGAAGCCAGGCGTCCAAATCAACCCAAAATACTCTTGCCTTATTCTTCGGTGAAATAGATAAAAAAAATTGTCTTACTAAACAACAGTGAGCATAGAAGCAACCTCGATGCACCCAATAATATGGCATCCGGGAACAGCAAGTGTGGCACGAGGATCCCAAGAACACGTCAAGTTCCATGCTACCCGCCGCCATCAAAAGAACGAAGGATAACTGTGCTAGCCTAGTTCATATTCAATGTAACGCTAACGGTACGGGATATATGAGCCTGTTGGGAAGGCGTGGGTGAGCTGTAA